ACAACATTCCACAGACTGATTACAGTGACAAGTGATGTGAGAATGACATTGAAAAACTACTGTGCTTATCATCCTTAGAGTACAGGCTTGGTGGAAAGAACAAATGGTACTGTGAAAAGCAGACTAAAAAGTGTATTGGAGGAACTGGTAGGCCCTGGACGCAATGTTTAGACTTGGTAAAATTATACATTAACATTACAAGTACATCAAAACTTACACCTTTTTAAACATTATTTGGAAGGCCGTACAGACTGCCACATTTTAAAAATCAATGGGAAATGGATGAGGAAGCTAATTTAGCTGATTATATGAGAACCATGTTAGAAAAACAGAGGCAAAAGGAAACTGAGGATCCTCCTTTTGTGTCCCAGCAGGAAGATCTATTAGTGGAGCCTGGAGATTGGGTGCTGATAAGGAGCATAAAGAAGAAACACTGGTATTCTCCTAAGTGGGACGGGCCATACCAGGTGCTGCTGACTACTCCCACAGCCATAAAAATAGCAGAAAGGTCATCTTGGGTACACCTGTCACATTGCAAAAAGGTCATTTCAGACCAGAAGTAAAAAAAAAAAAAGACAGAATAAGTTCCGGAGGCTCACTGACCTACAGGGCAAAGGCCAGCGTACAAAGGGGGCCAAACCGAATAGTTTGACCGTCTCAAAACTGGTGAAGATTGTCCACAACCCTGGAGCATCCTTAGGAGCCGAACGAACTTAAATATTACTGAAATGGCGAATAAAAATATTGTTTTTATTTTATGTTTTCATCCTGGACTAAATAGTAACTGGTTCTTAATGGTAGAGCAGGCTGCTAAATTAGTCAAGCAAGTTTGTAAAGTATGTATGGAACTAAGACTTCTACTATGTGTAACCCCAGCAAACATTAGAAAGCAACGCTTATTGGAAGTGATGAGTAAAACTAATCCTAATAGCACCTGCAGGATTTATGATTCAATATTTACTCTTACTGTAGCTGATGAAAAGAAACCTTTCTTTTCTAAAAACATAGCTCCAGGAAATTTCACATGCATCGACATAACAGAGAGTGGGAAGATATTAGGAAATCTTTCTGATACAATGTGTACTACCATGTTTTTTGTAAACAATGATTTTAACCTTGTCTCTCATGCAGACGTCTGGTGGTGGAGCGATGATGACAGGCTTTTTGATAAGTTACCCTGAAAGGTTACGGGTTTCTGTGCTCTAGTTTCTTTATTGCCTGTATCTGTTTATCCTATGTCAGAAACCGATCTAACACATGTTCTGTCTTACCCTTTCCAGAAACGAGAGCTGTCATGGGAACATGTGCGTCTACATACATCCATGCCATCCGGGTCCCTCACCAATTTTGACTGATCAGGTTTTGAATCTACAGTTTGTTGGTGGTGTACTGTAAACAGGGGCGTAGACGAGATCAATTTCATTCATTACAACGTGCCAAACTAGGTAACTGGAAACAGGCTGAGTTCGAGGCGGTTCATGAGCAGCTGGCCGCTACTTCACTGATGGCTTTCCAAAACTGTGTAGCTCTTGACATGTTGCTAGCTGAGAAAGAGGTGGGTGTGTGTGTTATCTTTGGAGAAAGATGTTGTATATACCTGCCAGCCAACGCAGCAGCCGATGGGAGCCTGGCGGAGGCCATTACGGGGCACCGAACCCTGAATGGCAAAATGAAGGAAGCCTCTGGAGCAAACACCTCTATGTGGGATGCATGGTTGGAGGTTGTTGGAAGGTACCGAACCCTTGTGTCCTCTGCTTTAGTATCAATGGCAGTCTTTGCTGCCATTCTAACCTTGTGTGAATGCCGTTGTACTTTTTGCCTGCGTTCTTTGTTTAACCGTATCATCACCACAGCAATTTTGCCCATGGAGGACCGGATGGCACAGATGTATCCTTTGTTCGTAAAACAAGCTGAGTCTGAAACAGAATCCTCTGCTGAGGATTCCCCTTACGTGTATTTAGATCCTAGTTTTTGAACTGAGTACAACCCTTGAGAGTAAAAATATTTGCGTTCTTACAAAATAAACCCCCAGCTGAAAATCGTTTGAAGTGGCTGTTTAGAAGGGATGTGAGACTTAGAACAAATATTTGATAAACAGGGGGGAATGTTAGGTAAATTGTATTATTATCAACTATTTGTTATATCTTTATGTTCTTAGTTTATGTATTCTTACTTATTTAGTTTAGTCATATGTTTGAAGAAATGTTTCTATATTGTTAATCACTCTGATTTCCTTTCTCAGAGGGCCTCTCTGAAGAAGAGCAGTGACAGCAGCTCTTCACAGAACGCCCTGCTTTGACCTCTTAGATAGCTATAAAACCATCGCCGTGAAGATTCACAACTTGTCCTGTTTGATCCTGGGTCAGGAACTAGATAAGCTAGTGTGAGATAGATTGTGTTGTTAGTGATAATCTTGGCGCTGTGACTGTGTGATGAAGTGTTTTCCCCCTCCCTTTAGAGTTATAGCGCTCTCTGTGATCAGGGATCCTAAAGACAATAAAAAGAGAGGGAAAGGCAAATGTGCTTCAGAGTGGTAGGAGATTTGTAACTGAAAGCACATCTCTGTCTGTTCTCCTCGCGAGTATTAAGAATCTAACTCTCTCTTGTCTTTCCTGTGTTATTTGCTGTGTTTAATAGGTGTCAACTCTGACATAAACAAAAAGAGTATTCATCATATTTCAAGTTAAAGACCAAATTAAAGCCAAAATGCACTTTCAAAATATCAATCAAGGAAAATAAAAATTAATTGTCAAAACCTCAAGCAGAGTGAGAGAACGAAAAGTAAAATAAATAAATATACAATATCCAACTTAAGTGTAGCTACTTTCCATTGTGACCAATTTAACTTCACTGCCTCAGCATCAATGCTAAAGTGCCAGAAGTGGCACAGAATCAGCAAACCAGTTTCCTTCTCAAACCGAGTCGGGCGAACTGAGCCACAATCAGCTCTGACAGAATCCCAGTGACGGTCCAGGAACGCAGCGCCAATAACTCTGATAAAACAATCGAGCTGAAGTTTCACATGCTAAAGCAAAACTGCTGTCAGATAAACAACTCAGCAAGGAATCAAACCAGTAGGTCCACAGATTTGGATGAATTTGTGAGGAAGACGCCAACAGCAAGACACAATCACAGTGGAAACAGGGGAGGAAGTTCAAACTGCCATTAGAAATGACTAGAAAACTTTCAGCATTTCTCTGTAATCAAGTTTCTTTATTGAAGACGAACAACAGACATTTATTTCTGATCTAAATCTAAAATATGAGAAGAAAACAGCATCAGTTCTGATTTGATGTTTCAGGTTTTCTGGATCACAACATAGAAAACAGAATCAAGTTCAGATCACTTTGATCTAAACTGATTTAACAACAAATAAAACATGGAAATACATAGATAAAAAAGTTAAAGGAAAACCATCAGAGTCCAGAGAAGTTTAGATCAAAGTGATCTGAACTTGATTCTGTTTTCTATGTTGTGATCCAGAAAACCTGAAACATCAAATCAGAACTGATGCTGTTTTCTTCTCATATTTTTAGATTTAGATCAGAAATAAATGTCTGTTGTTGTCTC